CACGTTTATAAATAGATTTTCGGGACTACAAGTAGATCAGATATAGAAGATGAATTCACCCTATTTTGTCTATGTTTTTATTGGGTAGTTGATTTCTAACACAATCAAATGAGTAGACCATTGGATTCCGCATAGACTTGCTTTTCCAAAAGTTCTTATCCGGGCTGAAATGGACTGTAGCTTCGACCTTGCTTGAACCAGTCTCATCCGCATCCCCAGCGGGACTCGAACTTGGGTCGTTGTGGTGCACTGTATACTCTCGACACGCCAGAGTGGCACACTCGACGGTGGGACTGTAGATGAAGTAAACTATATCTGGCTTCTAAATAGAATGAGAGAGAGAGAGAGAATGAAATGGAACAGAAAGAGCCACTGAGTAGGAATAGAAGAATAGAATAAGCTGGAGCTTGTTTTCGAACCTACAATTGTCAACTAACTCAGGATTGCCGCCTGCACACACAAACATACATCCACAAAGCTGTAACAAGACCCATTAGTTTACTTGCATACACAAAAGTAGTACCATATCCACATCCATTTTGACCCACTTACATGCATGTAGGACAAGCATACATCAGCCAACCAAATCTTTGAATGCTATTTAAGATCACAAAAAATTTAATAGAATTTCAGCTGGCAACCTTTCTCGGTTTAGTGTTTTTTATGATTTTTGTGAATAATGCTTTCTGTCTCTGACGATGTCCATCACAGGACGGACGAAAGTCCAGCACGGAGTAATCAAGGTCTTCTTCACACAATGCAACACACACGCAAGACCTGGCTTCGAGTCCCGCTAATGGAGGCTGATGAGACCAGTCAAGGCGAGCTCGAAACTACAGTCGAATTCTGCTGTTGTGAAGAGAGCCTTCGCGATATTGAACAGAAACGTAAAGTCAACTCGTGGGATCGTGGGAAAAACTCAACTGCCATTCATTCATTGTGTTTAACAAGATAGGAGGAAGACATTTCACACAAAAATGAAACCATTCGTCGTGGAGGGTGTCGTCTGTCGGAGTGGAAACGCTGAGGTTTGTCGTGAACAGTTCAGTTTGGACTTGTGCGGGAGCATTTAATTGGACAGGACTGACCATCAACCCTAGGCTCGAATCGCGCTTTCTGCTGTCTTTGCGCGTGTAAACTGTTGTGCAGAATTGCGTCGGACGATCGTGTCGGGCAGCGATGGGAAACTGGGCTTCATTCGGCATAATTGTTGAGCTTGCTTCCATTTCAGACTCACATCTTCTCACAGAAGGTCACCTGTTCAGCTGTTTGTATCTCGCATCACACCTTCTAAGCTCCATAGAGCCTGACCCAAAAATGCAACAGGCCTCAACCGAACGTCGATCCAACCAAAACAGGACGGCGGATTTCTCTTGGCCAACTATTGGTTGGCTTTACTGGAGCCTACTTGTTGATTGGGTTGTCAAGGCCATCTTCTTTTTCGCGTTTTAACCATCATTTGGAAAGATTGCCTCGGCAACAGCATCAACAAGAATGTCCCAGCAAGGTCAAGAGGAATCCGCCGTCGTCTTCTGGTGGAATCTCTTCACCAAACACTTTCACTCGGAATGGAAGTCAGCGCAACAATTGAGCCGAATTGAGCCCGTTTTCCCATCGGTCCCCGTTTCGACCGTCCGACTCAATTCTGCATAAAAGTTTACATGCCCAGAGACAACGTGAGCAGGTTCGTGAATCACCGTCTCAGCCAATCAGCTTCATCCCATTCATTCAAGTAGGCTGCGAGTCTACCAACAGAGGTTGAGCGACATCTCGAGTCTGTCGTGGTTGCGCAAGTGCTTCTGCTCCTTTTTATTCTCCCTGTTATCCTTCTTCTTCTGTCTCTTCTCATTCAATTCCCTTTTCCTCATCGTCTTCTTTTTATCCTCACTATCCTTATTCTACCTCTTGTTTTTCATCTTCTTCTCCCTCTCCTTTTAGAATTCTCTTCTTCTTTTTCTTCGCATTCATCTCCTTCTTCTTCCTTCTCTTCTCATACTCCCTCGCCTTTTTTATTTTCTCCTTCCTATCCTTCTTCTCCCTATCCATTTCATTTTCTTCTTCTTCCGCTTCTCTTTCTCCCTCACCTTTTTCATCTTCTCTTTCGCCTCCTTCTTCTTCCACTTATACTTCTTTCTCTTCTCTCTCACATTTTTAATCTTCTATTCTTCTCTTTCCTGTCCCTCTTCTTCGTCTTCCTTTTCTTTTTATTCTTCCTCTTTTCCTTCTCCTTTTCAATCTTATCTTCTTCTCTTTCCTGTCCTTCTTCTTCGTCTTCCTCTTCTTTTTATTCTTCCTTTTCTCCTTCTCCTTCTCCTCCTTCTCCCTCTCCTTTTTAATCTTCTCTTCTTCTCTTTCCTGTCCTTCTTCTTCGTCTTCCTTTTATTTTTATTCTTCCTCTTCTCCTTCTCCTTTTTAATCTTCTCTTCTTATCTTTCCTGTCCTTCTTCTTCGCCATCCTTTCCTTATTATTTTTCCTCTTCTCCTTCTTCTCTTTCTTCTTCTCCTCCTTCTTCTCCTTCTCCTCCTCCTCCTTCTCATTCTTCACCTCCTTCTCCTTCTTGTCCTTCTTTTTCTCCTTCTTCTTCTTCTTCTTTTTCTTTTCCTCCATTACCGGCAGTTGGACTGTCCCGAAATCGGACGAGCGGACGAGCAGACGAGCTGGAAGGTGCAGTCCAGTCTCGTTGACAATCACTTCGCGACCAATTGTCGTTGGGCCTAGTCGCTCACTCACATGCTACCGGAAAGTGTGAGCCGACTCTGCAGGCATGCGCAAAGATGGGCATGTGGGACTGCCCTATTGTCAGCAATTGACACCATTTCAATGTGGGCATGCATCAAGCTTGTATGAATATGACAAGGTTTGCATTTATTAAGGCCTCAGTGTGTGTGTGCGCCTGCTTAGGCAAATGCAGACATACAAATGAAATTTGGCAAAACATTCTCCATTTCGCTATATTCGTTTTGATTGGATGTGCACGGGTTGTTGGAGAGAATTTCGTTTCGTATGAAAGTGCATGAAAAAGAGATTCGAAGGTCGATCCCACCAGAAGAGGACGGTTCATTCGCGGTGGAATGCAGCCGTTTGGCTTTAATTCCACGTTCAGGCTGACGCAGTCCACAAGACCAACTTTGTTTCGGGTAATAACTGGCTGAGCTTTGGTCATGTCAAGTTTGACTGCCCCCAAAGCTTGGCTTATTCAGCATATGATTGGAAATAGCAAACAGTAAAGCCGAGATGGTGTGGCTCATTTTGTAATTGCATACTCAATTCGCTGTGTAGAAGTGGTTGACCTCTTATACGCTAAGTTGCCATGTCGTCACGGAGACGCAGATTATCACAGCTTATCCAAAATTGGCAGGTTTTTCTCGATGATAATGAAAAGCAAATAACAATTAGGTGCATTTGCCGGCTTATTCGAGAGCAAGAATTAACAATTAGAAAGTGGATTAGTTTTAAGAAAGCGACAAACATAAATAAAATAAATGAACTACAGAGGGCACAAATCGACACAAGACAAGCCGCTCTGGAGTGCCATTTTGACGCAAATGAAGTGATATTTCTTTCCTGATGCTCATTTTTTTCTATCAAAGTGCTTAATGAGAGGCCGGGATGTGCAAATTGGAATAAAATCGG